ATATCATGGGTGATAGTAGGCAACCTTGTTTCACTCCTGTCTTCACTTCAAAAGCATCACTGAGCTTCCCATTGTGAATTACTTGGCTGGCATGTGGCATCTTCATATAGTTGTTGAATGAGGCGGATAAAGGTTTGCGGTACTCCATAGTATTGAAGCAGTTTCCAAATTACTTCTCGGTCGACGCTGTCAAAGGCCTTCTCAAAGTCGATGAAGTTGAGGCAGAGAGCTGATTGCCATTCTATGCTCTGTTCTATGATGATGCGTGGTGTGGCGTTGCAATTTGGTCTGCACATGATTTGTACTTCCTGAAGCCTGCCTGTTCCGGTCGCAGTTTTGAATCCAGTGCATCTTTAAGCCTCTCCAGGATGATGCGGCTTAATATTTTACTTGGGGTGGACAGGAGAGTGATTCCTCGCCAGTTCTTGCAAGCACTGAGGTCTCCCTTCTTCGGCAGTTTGACAAGGTAACCCTTCTTCCAATCAAGATAGGTACCTTCTCTTCCTTCCACACCTTCTGCAATAGTGGTGTGAGCATGTCCGCTGTTGTCTCTGCATCTGTTCTCACTGCTTCTGGCGGTATTCCATCTTGTCGTGCTGCTTTCCCGCATTTCAGTAGCTTTATGGCGTGGCGTTCAGGACTTCCATTTTCGTTGGGGGATTTATGTTCACTTGTAATTCAGCAGCTGCAGGTGGTATTTCTGGACGAAGTGCAGGTGGTGGTGGTGGTCGATTCAAGAGCTTCTTGAAGTGGTCGGCCCATCGTTTCCTCTGTTTCCCTTCTTTTGTAATTAAATTTCCTTCTTCATCTTTTATTGGTTTCATCTGTGTTGGTCTCTTCCCTGATAGCAACCTGGTTATTTGATACAATGTCGTCAGATCTCTCTTACCTGCAGCCTGTTCTGCTTCACTTGCCAGTGTTTCGTAGAAGTGTCTTTTGTCTTTCCGTGCACTCTTCTTCACTTCTTTGTCCAGTGTTTTATACATTGTGCTCAGTTCCTCTTGTCGTTGAGCATCCTTGCACTGGTTCATCTTCTGCTTCACCATCCTCCTCTCCCCTCTCTATCAGCTTCCAGGTATCCGTCCAGATCCATTCCTTGTCTTCTTTCTTCCTCCTTCCTAATACTGTTGTGCAGGTTTCTTTCCACATAGCTTTCAAAGACTTCCAGTGTTCTTCCACACAGGTTTCTTCAGGGATGTTGCTCGCTGTCTCCCATTTTGTCTTGATGGCTGCCTTGAAGATCTCCTTTGTAGTTTCATCCTTCAGTTTCCGAGTGTTGTACTTGAATTGAGGTCTATCACCAGCTTCCTTGAAGGCTTTTAACTTGATTTGGAAGGTTCCTTGCACTAGATAGTGGTCTGAACCTACATCTGCTCCTCTTCTTGACCTTGTGTTAAGTAGACTGCGTCTCCATTTTCTTGAGATTGAGATAAAGTCGATTTGATTTTTAGTGTGTCTGGTGTCTGGTGAAATCCATGTCGCTTTGTGGATATCTTTGTGCCTGAACACACTGCCTGACTCCAATCACCAAATCGTTGAATGCGCAGAATTCTGCAAACAATTCTCCATTCTCATTCATCACCTCACCGAGCGCCTCTCGACCCATGGTTAGTTCTCTTCCCGTGTTGTCCCCTCCCAGTTTGGCATTCATGTCGCCCATTAGAATTTTGATATCGCCAACTGACGTCTTGTCCAGTGTTGATTGAAGTTGTCTGTAGAAATCCTCCTTTTTCTCTTGCTCTGCATTATTTGTAGGTGCATAACATTGTATGATTGTGACCTTTCTTCCTTTTGAGTTGAATCTTGCTGTCATGATCGTGGAGGAGATTGGTTCCCACTGCATGAGAGCCTTCGATGCTCTTGAGGACATCATGATAGCCACTCCCTCAGTGTGCTCGTGGTTGTCGTCTGGGTGACAATATCGGAGTAGATTATTGATTCTCCAGTTGACAGTTTGGAGAGTCCACTCCCATTCCATCTGCTTTCACAAATCCCAAGCACTTCGATGTGATACCTTCTCATCTCGTTTGCAATCTGGGCTGCCTTACTGGGTTCAAACATCGTGCGGACATTCCATGTCCCCACGTTTACTTTCGCTTTCATCGAGGGAGAGAAGACACATCGGCCAATTGGCTTCCCGAAGGCTTTCACCAACTGGCGTCATTTCGCCTCTCCGATTCCAGCGGGGAATAAGTTTGTTTTCATTTTTTATATTTTGTTTGTGCTTTGAAGTTTCTTTAGCGGTTAGATTTGTTTTACGGGGTAGGGTTGCTAGCCCTATGCCCAACCTTCCCTCTTTACCCGGGCTTAGGACCGGCTAGTAACTAGTAAACTAGTTAACCAGGCGAGGTTTTCGTCACGCCTTTACTCTCCTTTATCTTTCATATGAATGCTTTTCATAATTACGATGTGTATGGTGTAAGTACATTAGGCAATTCAAAGAAAAATACGTCTTCGGATTACTTCGTCAAAGAAAACTATCTATCTCACGTTACTTATTACATTCTGGCAAATAAAAGCACAGCATAATGTGGCTGACGAGGTGTGTACAACCATCCAATCAAAATAATACTAGTTTCAATGACCACTTAAATGAAACTCAAATAAGGTACATTACCAATCCTAACATTTAGGCTAAATTTATGTGATAAATATGACCGATGTGATAATGGGACGTTCGCTCTCATGTATACCAGTTTAAAATGTAGTATTCTAGGAAATCACTTAAATCTATGTATGGTGTTTGCCTCAAACAAGAAATATAAGTGAATATGTGTTTGTGCAATACACTTCGAACAACCTGATCACACATTTACTTGTTAACGCATATTATAAGAAAAATGGGAATTGAAAAAAGAGGTGGGAACCGGTGTGCTCCCGGTAAGACCGATGTTCACTCAACATCAGCCATCCGCTCGAATAAGATAACTCCCCGCCAGCTTCATACACTATACCCAGCCTCTACCTTATCCACGTACACCCAGGAGCTGAGACAGTGATTTGTCACCATAGGGTGCGGTGTAACGCATTGGAAACTGTACTCATCCGCTTCCCAACCTTGATGTCTAGATTGTCTCGTGTATTCCCTATTATCTTTCTTTAATAAACGTAAGTACATGCTGTATGCTTGCTGAGTCATTGGCTCACAATTTTCTCCAGCACTTTTCCCTTCCAGATTCTCGTGGTCACCGCTAAACTCACACGATTCTATATGTCCCCCTCCAACAGAGTACCTACAGGCTAGACGAAAACCTGCCAACATCATGCCGTCACAATTCAATAACTCCTTATTCCCATTTTCCACATAAAATGTTTTAACAAGTAAATGTATGATCAGATTGTTCGAGGTGAACGTCACAAATAAATCAAATTTTTCACATAAACAAACTACATAATCTGATTACGTTAATATTACTGTAAAACTTGAATACTGTGGTAGAATTCATAATTCTATATTAGATTTGTTTATTTGATGCATAACACACAGTGAATGATACAGTATTATTTATTGCATGACATTTCGAGCATAAATGATCATTGCTTATAATCATATCATTATAATAACACAACTTTCGACATTCGATTTTTATAATTATGTCACCTCATATAAGTTGTTTTTATTGGTAGTAAAATTTTCCATACCTCTATTATAGGTGTTGCGTCATTCCTATGACCTGCGCGTTGGGTGTTGGCTGATTCAATGAACAAAGATTCAGTAATCATTCTCTCTCTCCCTTTATCCACCCAATTATATTTGACTTGAGTACAGTAGTTTTATCCACCACAATAATGTGTGGTTGTGAGTTAATGCATGTATGGCGATAGTCGAGTGTTTTCCGAGGTTATTGGCTGTAATGGGGTCTGTCATTCAACATTTAGCTAAATTCCTATGTTCAGCTAGTCTCACCTATGTACTTGACCTCACAGTCATTACATGGGATTTGGTAGATTAGATTATTTATATTTAAATGTCACCCTAATTCCAGCCTTGTTGAGAACCTAACATAAAGTTTCCGAAGAACATTCTTATAGGGAGACACAATTGAGGCTATGAGCTCCTTTCTACTTGTGTTGTCGTTATTATTCGTTCCCGCGTTACTGTTATTATTTCACTGTCAGTCAGTGCAAGGACCTAAACAAGCAACTCAACCATGTAAAAAAGCGCTAACACTTAATAATTATCCTCTGCAGTTTATTAAGAAATTCGTACGAAACGAAGTAATGACAGTCACACGAGTATGAATAATAACGACAACACAAGTGGAAAGGAGTCCACAGCCTCAATTGTGTTACCGTATAAAGAAGGTACATCAGTAACTTTACGTAGGATCCTCAACGAAACTGGAATTAGGGTGACATTTAAACCTACTATCTCACTCAGAGATAAGCTTTGTCGACTGGCTCCGATCCGATAGAAGGAATAAAGCAAAACAATCTAATCTATCAAATCCCATGTAATGACTGTGAGGTCAAGTACATAGGTGAGACTAGCCGGTCGGTGTCAGCTAAACTAGCTGAACATAGGAATTTAGCTAAATGTTGAATGACAGACCCCATTACAGCCAATAACCTCGGAAAACACTCGACTATCGCCATACATGCATTAACTCACAACCACACATTATTGTGGTGGATAAAACTACTGTACTCAAGTCAAATATAATTGGGTGGATAAAGGGAGAGAGAGAATGATTACTGAATCTTTGTTCATTGAATCAGCCAACACCCAACGCGCAGGTCATAGGAATGACGCAACACCTATACTAGAGGTATGGAAAATTTTACTACCAATAAAAACAACTTATATGAGGTGACATAATTATAAAAATCGAATGTCGAAAGTTGTGTTATTATAATGATATGATTATAAGCAATGATCATTTATGCTCGAAATGTCATGCAATAAATAATACTGTATCATTCACTGTGTGTTATGCATCAAATAAACAAATCTAATATGGAATCTTCTGATGTCATTCAAAGAGATGCAATTCACTCACTCTCCAGCACCAGTTTGATTATTTCCTGTAGTCATATCGACATCATTTTCTTCTGTTGATGAATTCAAGTGTTGTTTATCGACTCCAAATGAGTTTAAATCATTCGATTCATGATTTCCAAATGACTGCTGTGCATTACTGTTCTTATTGTTATTATTGCTGACTTTATTTTCTTGATGTAGACTGGAGTTAAGGAAAGGCGACTTGGCAGTCGACAACGAGAGAGATGATTGTTGGTTATTTGAGAAAATTAAAGAATGTGCATTGTTATTATTGTATGGATCTAAGAAGGAATTGTTCGGTAGTCCATAAATATTTGAATTCGATGGATTAAATGAATTTGAACAGCTAATTGATGAAATAGCTGTTGAAGCAGTTGATGCCGATGATGACTGTATGTCTCCAAGACCAAGCAGAGAAGGCGTTGTTGAAGTCGAATAGCGTAGGCGTATAGGTGGACTGTGTTGAGTGAGAAACTGCATTACAGCTGCATTTGTTTCATTCCAGTCTAATTCTGGTGTAACATGACCAGCACGTACTTTACGCTTAGTCTTAGAAACAAGATTCTCCCACTTCTTCTTCACCTAAAAGAAAATGTTATCAACAAAGACAAAAATGGGTAAGGAGATTAATGAGTTGGTACGTATTTAGGCACTTTAAAAATGCCACGCACCACCGAGTTCATCATTAAGTGGCGTTCTCTCTGGCTTCCCTACACACATACACACAGTCCTTCACCTTCATGTTTCTTCGAGAGAATGTCACTGTCAGGTTCACCTGTTCAGATTCTAATAATTTTCTAGTCTTTATATGTCAATGGTGAGTATGTTTCCGTCTAAAAAACTTCCTCTGTTGCTTAATGTTGGGAGTTAGTCGAAATGCAGCTTTGAATCTAGTTTCCTGCTTATTGGTACTCATCAGTCATGGGTAAAACCAAAGTATAGACAACAAAGCGTCGTGTTATTTCGCTTAGCAGTCATATCCTAAACGTTATCGATGGACTCTAAATACCAGGACGAATGTGACGACTAAATCAGTCACTATTTAATGACCGAATTGTGTACATTTACCTCTATAAAGAGATTAATTAGTCGATCAATAATTTCTCCACTAAAATAGAACAACCTCAAACTTTAATCGATTCTCATAGATTTCCAAAAATCCGGTTAATTCATGAAACCTAACCTCAAGACTTAATTCAATTATTTAACACCAGTGTCCGTCGGATCGATCTATTTATCAAGCGTTGACTTTATCAAAAGAGTAATCGCTTTAATATGTTCATTGACTTATTTCTATGTTGTTTACATTTCAGTCATGTTTGGTGTCTTCATCTCTGTGCTCATTTTTTTCTCATATCTTCATCGAGTAGTGATTTACTTTTCGTACCTCCTATTGTGTGAAATTATTGCTTCAGACATCATTCTCCTGTAAGTTCTCCCTCTACGATTTCAGTCACTTTATGTCCTCTATTTTAATCCTATTTCCAACGTTTATGCAAAACATCTACACTAAAATTCAATGATGAAAGAGATTTCGCAGTAGACACCATCTTGTCGTACAACGCCGTATCAAGGTACTTCAAACTACAAACTATTTCTTTCTTTGTTTCATATTAAAGCAGACCAGTTTCTCGTATTCATAGAAAACAACAAAGAAGAAATAATTAACTTTCACCATCAACTTCATCTCAATCTCAAGAAAGTGGAGACGCAGCCTACTTAACACAAAATCAGACGAACAAGGGGAGCAGATGTAGGTTCACACCACTCACTACCTACTGCAAGGAACCCTTCTTAAAATTCAAGTTGAAAACCTTCAAAGAAGTCGGTTCAAGTTTAACACCCAGAATAGAAACTGAAGGACAAAACTACAAATGATATCTTCATTTTGTCAGCCATCATAACAAAATGGAAGACGTTAGGTAACATCCCTGAAGAAACCTGTGTGGAAGAACAATGGAACTCTTTGAAAGCTATGTGGAAAGAAACCTACACAACCGTATTAGGAAGGAAGAAGAAAGAAGACAAGGAGTTGATTTCGACGGACACATGGAAGCTGATAGAGGAGGGAGAGGAGGATGGAGAAGCAGAAGATAGACCAGTGCAGTGCAGCGATGAACAACGAAAAGAAGAACTGAGTATAACGTACAAAACACTACACTGGACAAAGAAGTGAAGAAGAGTGTACGCAAAGAAAAGTGACACTTCTAAGACACATTGGCAAGTGAAGCAGAACAGGCTGCAGGTGGGAGGGATAGCGACCTGACAAAATTGTATCAAATAACCAGGTTACTATCTGGGATGAGATCAACGCAGACGAAACCAATGAGAGATAATCAAGGGAAGTTGCTGAACTTCTGGAATGCAGCAGGACCAGATGGAATTCCACTAGAAGCACTGAAAACGGGGGCAGGGACAAAAGCGGGCATTCTCACAACACTACTGCAGAAAGTCTGGGAGGCAGGAAAGGTACCTGCCCATTGATTGGAAGAAGGGCTATCTTGTCAAACTCCGAAGAATGGAGACCTGAGTCTTTGCAAGAACAGGAACTGGAGTGGATCATGCTGCTGTCTACCCCAACCAAGCAAAATATTATGCCACATCATTCTGGACAGACTAAAGGATGCACTGGATTCAAAATTACACCGGAACAGGCTGGCTGGCTGGCTGGCTGGCTGGCTGGATTCAGGAAGTACAAATCATGTGCGGACCGAATTGCAACGCTACACTGCGCATCATCATAGAACACAGCATACAATGGCAGTCAAATCAACTCTACCTCACCTTCAACAGAATCGACCGACAAGTAATTTCACATGCAGTTACTGTTTCAACACTACGCAATACCACAAACCTTTATCAATCTCATTCAACAACTATATGAAGACGCATGCCACATGCCAAGTAATTCACAATGGGAAGCTCAGCTCAGTGATGCCTTTGGAGTGGAAGTGAAGACATGAGTGAAACAAGGCTGCCACCTACTATCACCCGTGATATTCTTGATTGTGGTCGACTGGATCATGCAACAAACAGTGAGGAGCGAGAAGAGAGGGATACACTGGCTGGACCAGGCAAAAGGACCTAGAAGATATGGATTTCACCGATGATGACTTGTGTCTAATTTCACACAAACTCGAAGATCTACAAGTGAAAACTAACAAGTTGACAGAGGAGGCGTGGCAGGGTAGTGAACATGGGACTTCAAGTGAATATAAAGAAGACGGCGGTGATGGAGATATCCAAACAACAACAAGCACCTATCACCATCAACAGGAGAAACCTAAAGGAAGTGGTCTCTTTCACCTACCTAGGCAGGGCAGCATCGTTTCAACTACAGGAAGCCACAGGCACAGAAGAGGATTTCAAGAACAAGGTTAGGAAAGACAGCAAGACAAGCGTTGATTAATCTGAAATAATCAGTGTGGAGATCTACTGCACTCAGCACAAAGCGTGAACAACATTCGGATTTTCAACACCAACATCAAGTCAGTGCTTCTATATGGTTCAGAAACTTGGCGTGTCACGTAAAGCATTTCCGATAAACTGCAGATATTCATCAACAGCTGACGTCTACACTCACTCGATAATGCAGATCAGATGGCCAGAATAATAAGAATAAGCAATCAGGACTTTTGGGAACGAACCAACCAAGAACCTACCACTCAACAAATATGCAGAAGGAAGTGGAGATGGATTGGATTGGGCATACACTGAGAAGACGATTAGGGGACATCACACGCCAGACCAGGCACTCGAGTGGAACCCAGATGGGAAACGGTGAGTTGGACGCCCGAGGGTGACATGGAGGAGATCATGTGAGGAAGAAACGAGAGCTTCTGGGCAGTCGTGGAGCCAGGTTCAAAAGACTGCAGAGAAGAGAGTTCAATGGAGGCGTGCTACTGAAGGCCTATGTTCCCAAGGGGCAGATAATAATAATTATTATTCATATTACTGACTAATGTGAGTAGTTCTAGACCGCTCTTACCGATTAGCGATGCTGACTAGCCACCCCGGACGGTCATTTCTCTCCATCAGGAACAAAATCATTCGCCGTGTCCCTGGATTAGTTCAGGTCACAGAAGCGAATTGTACAAGCCACTCCAATTTGACCTACTTGTTTGAGCGGATTGGTCATACTTAGAATCTAGGGCGACTTTAAAGGGCACTCTAGCAACTGATGTAACAGCCAATTACATTCCTTTATTCTATGTTAAGTTGCTTTTCCAAGAGAAATACCAAAGCCTGATAGGTCATTTCAGCGATTGCTAGGGTGGCCTTTAAAGTCACCATAGAATTGAATCAGGTGTTTGTAAAATACACAGTCCGTAGAGAGAAATCTCACCACAGTTTTGCAAGACAACCAGAATATTCAGATAACCTGGTATGATTTGCTCCACACACAGATTAACATCAAGATTGCGCTCGTTAAAGCTTTATGAAACATAATAGTGCCTGATATGAATAATTCTAAACCACCCATGCTGATCAGAGGTAATATGGAGTGACTTTAACGGCCACCCTAGCAACAATTGAAATAACCAATTAAACTACTTTATTTTATGAAAATATGCCTTACCAGTCGAAATGAAAAAACGTAATCTTTTATTTCGATCGTTCCTAGGGTGGTCTTCGTAATGTGTAGCTTAAACCTCTGAGAAGACGACTGAAACTCAGGGATTCCATTTCCTCTTTAGATAGGAACATGTTATCAGTGGGTAATCGGTTTGACAAGTGGTGTATCGTTGATTCCTTGACTCCTCATCCTCGTAATAACATTTAGCCTAGTAAATTATATATATATATATATATATATATATATATATATATATATATATATATATATATATATATATATATATATATATAATACTTGACTATATATAGGTAGTACTAGTACTCATCACGCAGTGACATCAGTTGGAGATCCACTGGAAACCTGAAAGCACTGGATGAAACACCAGTTAAGTGCTCCCAAATTTTCATTTCCCCTTCAGTCACCATGCAGTACCAAAATATTTTATTATTGTAATTATCACTATGACAATAACTATAATTACTTTCTTATACCTGGTGTTAAAATTTTACAATCTTCCTTGTAATTACGTATAAGTAAACAAACTTCATCAGCATTATTCACAATGCCAACATTTCTCAACAGATGTTGCCCTTTCTCCTCATGTTTCTCATTGTACATGGTTCATTTGTTCTAACGAAAAAAGTATGTTTCTCAGTTATTCTCATTCTGTGTATTCACAGCTGAGAACAAACCGATAAATATAAGCCTAATTTATTCTACAAGTCTTGCGCTTGTTCTTGTTAAGTAGGCAAAAGTTCATGATTCCACGCCGTATGTGATCCTCGGCATACACTGCTAAATAGTTGCAAACTAGGATGAAATAGCTATCCTGTGTCTTGAAGTTTTAAATCCCTCTCCACCCACTGACGATCTGTGGTGAATGTCTTGAAAGCGAAGCAGTCTATTATCAAATACAACAAATTCTGTTGAGTAAATCTCAGCCTATCAAAGTGCTCTTACGACAAGTAGATATTACTCTTCTAAATCAAGCCTTCTGCTTTCATCCCTAACTTACTGACATCAGAGGCTATGGGTTCAATCCGTGAAGTGGATGACGCATGAGAACTACTGAGTAAACTGAAAGAAAGATTTTTTTTAAACACTTGCTCAGTGTATCTTGACTATCAATGTAGGCTGATTAAAACGTGGCTATAACTAATGAATAGATTTACAAAAGTATCCTAGTTTCCTCTTGTAAAAAACATATACCTCAGTCATATTTTTATGAGCAACGGAAAACATGCATTCTAAATGGCTTACCTGATCAGCTGTTCTCCTAGGAGCATGAGGCCATCGATTTGCCATGCAGACAGCAACTTCTTCCCAAGCTCGACGTTTCAAACGGTTGGTCGACGGTGACAATGACAACAGGATATGCTTTCGAGCTTCAATTTCTTTCAGCATAACTCTCACCTCATCAATAACAAAAGTTTCTGCTCGTTTACTAGGATTCATCAATAGTGAAGCGACATCAGCATGACTCATTGCTGTAGCAAATTGTCCCGTGGTGACATTATTAATCCCACTGACTACAATATTGAATGTTATTATTAAAGCATCAACATTACCTATTCCTCCTTGTGAAACATTCATATTGTTAGTTAAATTCTGTGAAACATTTGGAATTAACGAGAATTGGGGTTTGATATCACACGGTTCCAGCTGGTATTGACAGGGATTCTGTTGAAGCATTTGTTGTGGCTGCACTGACTGTTGAGATGGCATTTGAACCGATTGACTAAGTGAAATGGGCTGAAATTGCGACATATTTCTCTTCAAATAAGTGTCCAACTTGGTCGCTTTGGTGAAAAAGTGTATATAACAAACACCGAGGCGTCAACTTTCAGCTGGTTTAAGTCGTTAAATAAAAGTAGAACAAGAACTAACTAACTAACTAGTCAAATGCAGACTGATAGATTAGCCTAGTTAGTGAGAGAATTAGTGTGTGTGCTTAGTTAAGCTATCTTCTTTTCTATGCTAAAGTTTGGTTGGTAGAATAATACTTCGCTTCACACTAATCAATAGGTCTAGTGAAGGACGAAGTTTAGCTAAAATCTGGTTGGTTAGTGAAGTGTAGGTGTTGGTCATAAAGGTAGCTGAGTTGAAGAGCGAAGTTAAGAAGCAAGAGTAAGAGAGAGGGAGTGAGAGAGAAAAAAGTGATAGGCAGATAGATATATAGATAGAAAGTATGATATATGGATAGACAGACAGGCGCATTATAGTGGTTCACTGAAATCTGGTCATGTGATATGAAGACTACCGCTTCATCAAAAGGGCAGTTAAAAATCCGGTCTGATAAAATCACAGCTCAAATTTTTTAGTGTTCTGCGGCTTAACTAGTTAGCTTGTCTATGGCTTTTTTACTACGCAAACAAAGACGTCATTAGATTTCAGCCAGCCTACAAGTTATTCTCTTCTAACAAATGTTTCAACAGTTAAAACAATGTAAAGAGACTGGAGATTTATCGGTACCCTCTTAATATTCTCCTATTGATGAAATATTTTGCATTGTTCTGGTCAACATAGCCTCCTAATTGATTTAAGGTTCAATAAAATAAATCCTCACCGTTCATTAGGACTTGAAATATAGACAAACTACTTGACTCATCTTAAAGTAGAACTCCACTTCACTCCATTGGTCAAAATATTCTTTGATGACAACCAACGATGTGTAGTCTATCGAATAGCCAGAATTAGACAGTAAGAAATTCGCATCCCAAGTATAGCGAAAACTTCAGACAGTTCATTTTGCCTATTCTATTTGAAAGATTGAAGATTTGGACAAGATGCAGGAGTGATTTATTGGGTTAAACAACTAGCATTCACTCGGTAAGTAACGGGTTTAAGACATCCTCAACCTACCAAGATTTGAATCATCAAGCCATAGCTCAGCTGTTATGCAGTCAAGAGAATAAAGATCGAAATGCTGTCAGCAACCTTGTGCACATTCGTGAAATGAGCCGTACCTATCGCATGAGGACTAATGATACCACCTGAATGTTTAAACCCCGGTAGGTGGGGCTGTATTCGAATCTGTGACTTACTGGCTGAAAGTCAGCTGTTAAATCAGTGACCCAAAGCTCTACAGTCTCATACATTATGTGTGGCTAATTACCACATACATGAACCTGTAGGTGGCTAGAGTGTTGTAGTTATGGTTTAACTATAGATCGGGATATGAGTAAACATGCCCTCGTCAGACAATCTAACACTCAGTAGCAACTTAAATAGATCACGCATACTTCAGTGGATAGACATGGATTAACACTGAGGAGCAAGAGGTATGTTGGCTATTATCCACTAAGTAATTTGTGATAATACTGTAATAATACTGTATCACTGTGCGCTTTATATCAAATAAACAAATCTAATATGGAACTACATTCTACCACAGTGCCCAAGTTTTTCACTTAAATTTGTGACTCTGTCCAAAATACTTCTGGTAACAGAATTCATTTGTTAAGCAAGAGAGAAGCCTTTGATTTTCCTTGTTCAATTTATTGACGGTTGTGCAATCTCATTGTTGGCACCAGTAAATGTGGTTATCAGTAATTGGACAGTAACAGAATATTCACTTAGAAAAAGAGAGAATATTCATGAAAAGAAACTAACAGCGTATTTCACAGTCTAATTTGGCATACCTCACGTTACAGTATCGAGATGAAAGTCAACAAGAAAGAAGATTATGAAAGGGGAGAAAATGACAGCAATAACCGCAAAAATGCATGATACACAAAGAGAGATGAAAGGAATATAAATGAAGGGAATACGTGAATAGATCTCCTTTAACTGCGATGGATTATGAAACATACGACTAAGAATCTTCAGCCATCTGTTTTGTTTTTATCATTTACCCTAACTGAAAAGCTCATATTTCCCAACATGGAGCAAGGCTTGCTGACATTCATACCATAAATACTCCTACTCTATCTATGCCGATGTTTTAGCAGATGATGACTAGACAGACTTATCCATGTCTAAGACAACCCAACTGATGAATATTCACAACTTCTTCAACTGATTTGTTACTGGTACGTACAATTATGTGCAGCAATATACACGAGTGTTGGATGCTTTAAAGATAAAATTGGTCAAATACTCCTAGAAGACGCCAACCTTCCACTTTTATTGTCCATATTTCACAAGTATCTGTTAAGACAGAGTGCACTGTTGTACAGTATATGTAGCTTAAAACTGCTATAGCCGCTAACGATGCACGGAAATCAACTACCAGCCACCAACGTTCTACAACTGCCAAGTTGATTCCATACCCGACTAATAGATGGAGAAGACACAGTGAAAGTGTAGGAATATGTATTTAGACCGAAGACCTGGTGACTATCTTCGACAGGTGATTCACCAAGTCCGAGCGACAAGTAGTGACCAGTGGAGTCAACGCAATCAAAGATGAGGATAGTCACTGAACGATGATATTGGATGTAGGTCGCGCTATATCGTGAACTGATAGAAGTAGGAAATGTGGACCACTGGATTCCGATCCAGTGGCTCAGTTGTAAACGTGCTGGCCACGAAACCTGAAGGTAATGGATTCGATCCGTGGTGCGGTGGGGTGATGGGTGTGCAATGCTGAAGAGTCCCATACTAGTGGGACAAGACAGCTTTCCTATGCTCCAAGGCTTCTGATTTCCTCCAAGTGATGTCATTCCATGATGAATTCCAACCTAAAAGTAGAATATGTTTATATATATATATATATATATATATATATATATATATATATATATATATATACTATACTATACCAATCTAGAGGAAAAAAGGGGAAGCAAGACTACTGTCCTTCAGCTTTCATAAAATAGTGTCATGGTGAAATCTGCATTGACTTATCAATTGACAGTTTACATAACATCTGAGTTAACTACCTTCTTAATTGTACCACGTTGTAGCTACTCTGAGTTGTCTAAATATTTAGCAATGGTGTTAGGCCCAATAAGAAACCACCCAAAATCTTGACTTACCAACTCTGACGACTTAAAGCACAGATTAGACGACAGTGGAAAAAAACGGTTAGTTTTGACATAACTAGCCTTTAAACAAATATACCGATTGACATGGCTCTGTGGGCAGTTCGAAATGGGCTTAAAGATGACAAAGAACTTACGCATCGAACTAAGCTGTCGATCGAGGAAATCATACTGGGAGTACGATTGTACCTAACATCTACAGTTTTTAAGTTCCAACATAAAATATATAAACAAACTGAAGGTTTTGCCATTGAATCGCCAATATCCCCTATCGTCGCAGATATATTTATAGATAGTTGGGGACAGGTGGCCATTCAAACATTTAGTCCTTCTCCAAAGGTATGGTCCCGATATGTAGATACGTTTACAGTACTGACATAGGAACACATCAACAGGTTCTTGGCACATATAAATTCAGTAGTGAATACAATCCAATTTACCTGTGACTTAGGAAGTGAAGAAGGTGAGCTAGCAATGTTGGATTGCAAGATTAAACGAACACAAGAAGAAAATCTAGAGACTAGTGTTGATAGGAAACCTACCCATTCGAATGGTTACTTAGACTTCTAATCCTCCCACCCCATTTCAGTTAAAGTAGGCCTAGTTAAATGCTTAAGTGATAGAGCGAAAAAGCTTACTAGTAGATCGGAAAATCTGTGACAAGAAATTAGACACATCAAGAATACCTTGCGTCTCAATAATTACCCACCTAAACTTATCAGTAAATTTATAAGAAATTGAAAGAAAAATATTAGCGCTAGTAGTAGTGGTAATACAGATGTTATTAATAATAATCCCACTACTAGTGGTAATAATGGCGACAGGGTTAAGAGAAAATTCAAAGCCTCTGCTGTGTCACCATACAAGGAAGGTACCTCAGAAGCATTGCGAAGAATTCTCAATAAGGCTGGGATTAAAGTGGCATTCAAACCAACAAACTCACTTAGAAACAAGCTTTGTAGGTTAAAAGATCCTATCAATGCAATTAAGCAAAATAATCTGGTTTACCAGATCCCTTGCAATGATTGTGAGGTCAAGTACATAGGTCAAAGCAGTCAGTCGACCAGGGTCGATTAGAATAACAGAGCACAAAAACTTAGCTAAATCAAGATCAGTAGATCCTAATAAGATAAGAAATCTAGAGAAAAACTCGGCTATAGCTCTGCATGCGATGACACACAATCACACAGTAGGATGGGATAGGGCGACAGTGTTGAAAACTAAGTTGGGTGGAGGGAGAGACTGATAACCGAATCCTTGTTTATCGAATCAACACCAAACACATGCAATCGAAATGATTCTGCACCTGTCCCAGATATATGGAAAATTCTACTACCCTTTTCATCACAGAGAAGGAGAGAGAATTAGGAATATATAAAGTCTGTCTCGAAGTTGTGGAGTTAGTTACCTGACATGAATATGGACAATAAATTGTGTCCGAAACATTATCCAGTAAATGCTACTGTTTCACTGTGTGATATTTCTAATAAACAGACTAAAATGAATTACAACAGACTTCAGTGCCCAAGTTTTACTCTTATCCAAATATTGGTATACTTCTCTATTCATATTGGCAACAGAAGCACTAATTACCAGCGAAAAGTAGAATTTGATCAAGGATTTCTTTGAAAGTGAAAATGTTCAAAACGATAGATTGTAATCCACTGATTCTGATGATGATGTGTTCACTGAACTGGATGGTTTAATGGTGAAACTTTCGTTGTTATTCTAGACAACAGCACTTGAACAAACTTCAATAAGAAGTGAGCTATGTGATTTTCTCCACAATGAGGCTTGATAGCTTTGTGTTTGGTTGGATGATTCTGCAGCAATAATTTCGACTGGTTGTCCTGTTGAATTGAAGTTTCAACTTCTTTTTGTTTCTTATTGGTTAATAGATTGAGTCAATGTCAATATGTCTGTTGATCGTTGACTGACCTGAATGCCAGGCGTCTAAAAATTCTCTGGTATTTTTTATATTTTCTCAATCCCGGGTTTTTATATTTTCCCTGTCAAACTCATGTCCATGGGTGTCTGTATACATTGATGTGAGAGAAGATAGTCTGTGAAGCTTCACTAATAGTTGATGATCATGTAGACGGATACGAAGAGGGCGACCACTCTTTTTGATGTAATCTACTGAAAAGTGCTACAGAAACTTCAACTTTGTGTT